ATTTAGCTGGTAACGTACAAGTAACTAACACAGAATATGACAGGTCTTCAGTAAGGACTTTTTCAGTGTTTTGATGAGATTGTGACTAATGGTGGTGGTCAGCAAAGTGTTGCAGTCAGCCATACCACTCCAGAGAAGTCCACCCAGGCCCCTCAGATTACTATCATATTGTTCCTCACTATTTATAGGAGGTTGGGTGCTGGAGCTACAAGTATCAGAACAAACATGCACCTCAACCTTCCCCTCTCCTTTTAAACAGCACGTAGAGCTTGTCTCTATTGAAAGAGGGAGTTGTTGCAAGTAGGCTGCAAATCAGAAAAATTTGGCCTTCATATGCCAGTGGAGAATTTATACAATTTTTGTTAATTTTCTACTACTAGATACAGAGCAACAATATCTGGGAAGACACTTCGTTGGTATTGACAGTAAGTCTGTATACATCAGTAAGTCTGATACACAACAACTCGCTAGAAGACAGAAGCAAATGAATGGCAGTCAGGTGACAGAATAATAATTCTTAGTATCAGGTATGTATGTGCAGATGCACTTACAATCTTGGACTTGAAGACATCCAGTAATCCCGATAAGTGAGTATACTGGCTGGGGACTTTGCGAAGATGAACCATTTCAAAGTCAGTTCGAACTCCCGGACCTTGGCACTCTCCAACATACATACGGCGCCATTTCTGATGTATTTGCACAAACAACGGCACCTGACTGTAAAACACCCACATTTTGGATTATCTCTGCCAGCTCATAGCCTTTTAAACACCGCATTTTTTACAATGTATTTCTCTTAAGAGAACACAATTCAAAATGCTAAATATGAATCACAGAAAAATATTCTTAACTTCATCATTAAAGAGAACTCCTAAAAATTGTCATGAGAAACACAGATGCAAAGATTCAATGACCTGTTGGCTTTCAGTCCAATTACTAAAAGCTACTAATAATTACTAGAAATTCACAGTTACCACACAGTGTTCCATATGCCACTTATCCCAACAACATGCAACAGTTTTATAAGCCTTTGAGGTTTCCATACAACAATGAATATAAATAACATACTGAATATTTATATAGTTACTGCGGAAAGATACTTAAAAAGTCTTTTTGTAACAGTATTATGGTGCAAATGCAAGAAACACAACGTAATTCACTAACAACTAAATACTTCTTCCTAAATAAATAAAGAACTATATAAATAGCACGCTAGTTTCACCTTTAAAAAGTTCATGCTTTCACCTACCAGCCAGTGTTGCCCAATGCAATAGAAACAGAACTCAGCAGGAGGTTACATTTCGATTCACTAAGAACCGCATCGTTATTTGCAGCTGGAGCAATAACCACAAACTCACGTAAGCCGTACCTTAGAGAAAGAGCAGGGAAAGACAACATACTTGTGTGCTCCAATAGACCAGCTCAAACACAGAATTGTCAGGAATATTACAACCTGAATAACCTAATTCCTGCCAGCAGGGACATGACTCTTATTTTGCTGTGTGTCGCTTCTTTCAGAGAGGCCAAGATCTGACTGGGAACGCAGTACCGCAGATCATCTCACCACTACGCTAATTCAACAATGCTCAAACACTACTGAAGTCATATGAGGATTTCCAGGTGACCAGTCCTGAGTTTCTTACTAAAGTTAGTAAAAACTGTAATTAGACTGAAAAACAAACTATCACTATGCTTCTCTGTATTAGAGAAGAAAGGCAGCATACATACCATCTTACTAGACAGTGGGCTCTAGGAGGAAAGTCATTGTTCATGCAGAGCAAGTCCTGCATAGGCAGAGGAAGGGCATCTGCAAAAAAAAAAAAAAAAAAAGGACACGTAAGAGCATCAGCATCCATTTAAACTAACAGTTTACTTCTTCAGCAATTTGTTCACTGTAAGACATAGTAAAAATCAGAAATATCAAGTCCAACTCATCAGATCCCCCAAAATTTCACACAGATGCAAATCAATGCTTATGAAATCAACACTCTGAAATTGTCTTTTGTCATATCCTTCCAACACCTGTGACATATTTCAGGCATGAAAGAGTACTGTCAGCTACCTTCTACACCTTCTTCTCTCCCATCTCTGTCACCAGGTTCTTGTACAAGATAATGATGTGTAACTGAGAATTTGAAGTCTGCAAACGAAATTTCATCTGATTTCTCCTCCCACACTCCTGTGGTATATACACCCTGCAGATTGAAAATAACAAACAAAAGCAATTGAAAAAATGAAAAACAACAAACAAAGCTATTACTTGATCACATAAATTTAGTGTAATATTTGTTCATTTTTTTCTCCTGCAGTTTTATTTTACAGCTAGGCACCGTCTACTATGAAGATAATTCTCAAAGCACTTAAGGTTAGCTGAACGCTAAAATCCACGTTAATCACTTTCATTTCAAGGACAAAAGTCTTCAGCATTATTAGGCAACGTAAAGAATTGTACAGTTACTACTAGAAGTCATGTGAACAACCACTCTTTGTAAGAAGTTCTTCTCACTACAAAACAAGAGGTCCAGAACAGAAAACAAAATACAGGAACACACTGACAGCAATGGTTGACAACTAGTTCACTAGATATCATAAGCTTTAATCCCTAATACTTGGTACTCTAAAATTAAGTTATAGAACTCCTCTGGAAACATGACAGCCATAAATCCCTTAATTTCCCACACGTTTTACAGGACTGAAGCACCACCAGAAAGCTGCTAATTAGACTTCTGGAGAAAAAAATAGAAAGTCTCCCTATGAGATGTACTGAGTCACAAGTAACACAATGCAAACCTCAACAACAGTACGTGAGGCATGCCAAATGCACCAGGGAGGGCAAAGTAAATAAACAAGCTCATTGAGAATAGAGAGCAGCTAAAACAATGTTCCCAAATGGAAAACAGGCAATGAAAAGAAACCATAGCACTAGCCCCAATAAGGAATTTATCAAGGAAATTGTCTATCTGGCAGAATTCCAGTAACCTCACAGCACTTGTTTGTTCAATAGCCAGTTTTACAAGTGAAATTCCTAACACAAATCATTAGCTGCCACATTTAAGTAAATGAGAACACACATAAACACATCCATGGGTACTGCTAGTTTCTAACACTCTGTGGAAGCTCTAACTGACCAACTGACCTTTTCCAGAGGTTTGCCTGAAGAAATCCCAATAAGTTTCCAGTCATTCAACACTTCTTCTATTTTTGAAATAAATCTAGTAAGGAGGGAAAAACGTATTAATATTTCCTGATTGCTTGCTCAGCTTGTGTTGTAATTCAACTCCCAAAAGCAGACAAGTAGTCCTGCTGGGGAATTCCTTTAAAACAACACAAAAAATAGTAACATACCAGGGATTGCAACAAAAACAGTCTGCTTCCTTGTACAAATAAAGTGGTGCTTTTAGTTTCACATCCCAGATAAGCCTTATTTTTAGCAACCGTTATGAACATGCATTGAATGTTTATAAAGTCTCACCCATTTCCACAGAACCACAGAACTGTAGGAGTCGGAAGGGACCTCTGGGGATCCACAAGTCTAACTGCTTCACTGATGAGCACTTCAGTTATACTTCAAGCAGCATCTTTTCCCAAAAAGGTAATTTCTAACATAGGGGAACATGCTTTCTGTCTCTCCTACTCACCCTTCCCCCATACCCCAACCCCCAATTACTGGTTTGCAAAAAGGGTTTCAAGCACAACCAGCTAAAATTAAAATACATCCCAGTCATGGCCAACACAGGCTTTAATTTAGATCGATATACAGATCATGCATTAAGACAATGCAAGTTGGAAGAACTGAGACTGATGTTATACATTTGTCTGGTACTGCACCAAAACAGAGCACTGCTTCACTGTTTACAGAAAAAAAAAAACAAAAACCGACATTAGACACATAACTGTAATCTAAATTCAATTTAAACACAGACCTTAAAGTCTTTTTCTATTGCAGATATTCTCACTGGAAAAAGAATTTTAAAGAATAATACATAAGAATGCAGAGCAACCTTCACCTGATGTTGTTCCCTATGCTGCTCTGCTAACTTTGAAGGGCTTCAACCACAAGGCAAGTACTCGACTGCTACATTACAACACATGGGTTTTATGGATGTTCGCTGTAATCCTCGGCTAAACCTGATCTTCCACCTGGTTCACAAACAGCCGGCCTAGATCCTCTTATACACTGCAACCGAGCACTGTCAGCCCTACCGCAACCGCACCGCCCAGCAATCGCTTCATCTGAGCACTGCACAACAGCACCTTCCGTGACTGCCTGCTTCAGTTCAGCTGACAACAAAAACAAGGCCACCGAGTTGCTGGGAACTCGAATCGCGCCCGACACAGTCCGAAATCCGGCCGGGGAAGGAAGGTAAGGAGGCGCCGGGGCTGCGAGGAGCAGGGCCGGCCTCAGCCCAACGGCAGCGCGTACCTCTCCCACTCGGAGGCGGTGGTGAAGTCCGTGATCTCGAACACCTCCGAGTCGGGCTGTGGGGAGAGAGCAGGAGAAGCAGTGAGCGGGGAGGCGGCCGTGGGCCGGGAGCACCGGGGTGAACACGATGGGACGGGAGGAATGAGCAAACACTCACTTCGCTGTCCGCCGCCATCTTGCGCTGTGCCCGCCCCACGCGCAAGGGCTGGCGGGAAGGGGCGGCTGCCTCACACGGTGCCTCGTCCCCGCACGGCGTCTCACGGAGGGGTGAGGTCGAGCTCTCCCCGCTCTGAGGGGCCTCTTTTCAGGATAAATTCCTGACTTGCTGGGACGGGGTGTCCCCACGGGGCTCGGTGTCCCTCACACAGGAGAGCGTCTGCCAGCCCTCACAGGAGTTTCCTCCGAAACTCTCTCAGTCCCTGACCGTTACCCCTTCTCCGCCTCCCTGCGGTACAAACTGCTATTTCTCCATCAGAAATATACAAATAAATAACGTAATCCTCAAGGCCTGCTGCATAAGGCTACCTGCAGGTAGACAGAGAATAATTAGTGAGAATTAGTGGTGATAGCGGGGAAAATGACGTAAAGGTAAACGAAGCGCTGAAAGCATCGAGAGAAGGGAGAAGGCTGTGGTGCCGCTCCGCCGCCCGCTGCCGTGGCAACGCGGAGTAAACGAAGCGCGGCGGGCCGGCCGAGCCGCTGAGACAGGAATAGGGATAGGGACGGGAATAGGGACGGGGATAAAGACAGGGACACGAGGAGGGACAGGGATAGAGATAGGGACACGAATAGGGACTGAGCCCGCAGCCCCGCCGCCCGCGCGCTGCGTGCGGAATCCGTGCCTCTGCCGTGCTTCGCTGTGGAAACACGGTAAGGGCTGGCCTCGGTCTGTTTAATAGAGCTTTTTCAGCTGTTATTTTGAATTTTTTTAATTGTTATTATTTATTAATATTCAAAAAAGGGAAAGTTTGGCAAAGTTCAACATGTAACTCTTAACAGGCTCATATAGTGACCCTTCTAATGGGTTATCTGGTGTTCAGCATAAGGAGGAGTCAAAAGTGCTTGCTTCTACAGCTGCTGTTCTGCAGAATATTGGTTGTCCTCCTGCTTCCTCCTCTGTAAGCCTCCAGTGACAGTATTGCCCGATATCAGGGTGCAGCACTGTGTGGTATTAGCACTATTCCTCTCTCACACACACACAAGTGTCATGCAGAATTGTTGTAATTAATTTAATCTAAGATAAGTGGATGAGTCTCTTGAGAAGGCTGATGCATGCTGAAGGCATGTTGTGTACTTTTTGCTGAATGAGAAACAAAAGTCACATTCATTTGCTAACTAACAGTAAATGGCAAAATGCTGAATCCAGCAGGAGCTACATGTGCCATTTGTTTCCACTGACCTCTGTTGTGACTTTGAAATAGAACCATTCCTAAAGGACAAGATCCTGAAGGACTCTGAAGGACAGAGTTGCTACCTGCCATCTGTTGCATTCATCTTATCATTGGCAGCACTGCAACACTGGGCTGCTTTCCCATTAGAAGCTCTATTGAGAGCCCTGAGCTCAAGTGCAAAGGAAAAAAGGCATTTATGAAATGACTAAAAATGGGTATTTATGAGCTAAACAAATAAGTAAACAATCCCAACCCCAAACCGTTGCCAGCGGTAGTTCCTGTTGGGGATAACTTGTAATAAAATGTGTAATGAATGTTGAAAATGTTATTTACCTTTAGATGGAGAAAAGTCCATGCACACATTATTCATATTAGGCACATTATTACTGAATTTTCCATTATGGACTTTATAATCTTCCTCTCTAGCATTCAGTAGCTCCGTGTAACTAATGAATTCAAGTCTATCTTTCATATATCTTTAAATGTATGTTTATTTCTGTGTATTTGTACACATATCTGACATTTTTGTTTCTATTTTTTAAACTGAGTTGTTTGCTAAATAATAAGGACAGTGGGAAATGTAATATAAATACTAGCTGATATTTTCTTCTATTCATTTCAATTCACTGTGCTTAATTCGTGTATTCTTGTCATTTGAGAAACAGAAGCCCAAGTTTTTCAGAAGAAGCCCAACCCTGAAAAAAAAATTGAGATTAATTTTAAGAATCTTTTGAGTTTCTTAGGATAGAGGTTGGTGTGAGCTGCGTCACGATTACAGAAATAGTCATCACTGAGACTTTGTTGAGATTGCAGTGTACGAGCTGTTCTATGCTCAGAAAGATTTTTGTTATTGATCTCTTTTGCTAAGGCAGAGTTTTGATCAAATAAAGATAAGCAATAAAAGATACGTTCAAAATAAGATTTTCTTCTAAATGTGACCCGTTGACTTTCTGGTCTGCTGTATATGGGTGATATCAGCAAACAATACTGAGAGTTTTCATTTCTTCATAGCATATGCTGAATTTTTAGCAATAATAATTGTGTTTGGACTGCTTTGTTTTGTATATTTGCAGGATGGGGCATTGGACATTAAGTTAAATTACAAATTTTTCATAATTTCAAGTACTTGTAAAATTCTGCTATTATCTTGTATAGGATCCCAAAGTAGTGAAGTATGATCTACTAGTTTGGATGGATTGGAAATCAATTAATGATACATGTTCTCAGGTTTCAGGACCTTAAAACATCTAAGGACAGTATGTCTGAAAAGCAGAAAATTAAGAGGAGAAGCACAGAAGGTATCTAACGAATGAAATGAAATCTGTGAAATGGAATATATGTATCTGGAGAAGAAAAAGGACCATGTTAGCTTGAGATCTTGTCACTTGTTAAAATCAAACATCCACAAAAAAATTTTAATCAAACTTAAAGTTATTTCTGCCTTTGAAAAGCCCTGAGATTTGTTTTGGTTTTAATACTTTTTCTAAATGAGTTTGTCCACATTTTTTTCTTCTATTTCTGTTTCACTGAAATAGGAGATGTAACTGGATTTTTTAAAGATGTCCTTTGCTTTTAAAAGTGGATTGAATTATTATACTTACCAAAATAAGTGAAGTTATTTTAGGCTTAAGCATTCAAATGTCTAAAATTTACCACAAAAAGTATATGGAAGTATTTGATTCAAATCAAATTTGCTCTTTTTTTTTCCCCTGATACATCTCAATCATATTTTAATGGCCAAAATTAAGTATATTTGCTTTGGTGAGTGAATGATATGCAGTATGCTAGTGTTTTCTGCAATACATCAATATAGTACTAATACACTGATGTACTGATGCAGGTCATGGAGCTGTTGTTGCTCTTCCAAATGCAGATGAGATAGTGAAAGAAATCTGTGATTCATACAAAGTTCTAGGAAAAAGTAGGTAAGTAGAACTAATATTTAATTTGTGCTTAGGTATCCAAAAGTGAAGACAAAGCAGGAATTAGTCTGAGCCTGAAAAGATTTGCTTTGTGCCAGCTGTTAGATACGGCTGTGAGTTGTATAGCGTTTCTTTCTTCCCAGTGTCAATGCTGATCCTTGCAGGATCAGATAGAGGCAGGATATTGCACTACATGAACAAGTGGTTTGGTACAACAGGAGAAACTACTTCTGGTTATGGTTTTACATCAGTGTTTGACCTAAGTAGAAACGCAATTGTCTCGCATGCAGCTTTTAAGATAGACTGTATTTTCAACCTCTTTTCAATCAAAGTTCTTTTTTTTTTTCCTCCCCATGCTTGAATTTTCCGTTCTTCAGAAACCAGATGGCAGAAATCTGAGTCTTGTCCATACAGCCTCTATTCTTGCAGGCAGGCCATAGCATATTTTATAAACGACAAAGGCACACCACCTGGTCTTCAGAATTCTTTTGACATACTTTCCTGATGATGTATTTTCATAAAAAATACATGCTGGAAGCAATCAGTTCTTATCAATAAGGGGAGATGGGCAATATGTTTTCCTATTCATACTGTGTCTTTGTCTGTGTTGTTTGTTATTCATTGGTATTTGTGATCAGTTGCTGCCATAGCAGTTAGATGCTGCTGGGGAGAGCCACAGCTTCCTAGATGGATCAAGAAAGAGAAAACACTTTGGGATTCTTGCATCTTATGAGTTTCTTGTTCCTGTTAGTCCCAAGTTGAGTGATTATTTGAACTGAGTAGGAGCCTTCCACTTATTTTCACATTGTATTTTGGTTTTTGTTTTTGCCTTTTAGCCAAAAAACACCAACAACCAGACTGTGGCCAGATAAACAAGTGGCACATTGTCAAAGTAAAAAGCAGTTAACATTACAGATGGGACAGCACACCTCTCTACCTTTCCTGCTGAAGAAAGAGATCATAAGGCATGGCTTTGACTTCAGCTTTCTGCTACAGGCCTCATGCCCAGAATCCAACATTCCAAAATGCTTTAAGGATATGCATCAAAGTAAGTTCAAGCTTAAAAGTCAGAATAATTCAATAAAGTTAAACATTTTTCATATGAATTTTTCATACGAAGTGAGCTTCAGCCATGTTGCCTGTCTTCTTTAATTATGTGTGTGTGTATTTAGGGAATGAAGGAGATAAAGAAAAGCAACATAAAAAAAGATGTTGCAATTCTGATTACTCTGTATAATAAAATAGACCCCTCATAATGTACAGTGGAATTCTAGGCAGGGCCGGGATGACATCTCTTTTACTTCTTTTCCTCCTCCTGGAACTAATTAATTCATAATTGAATTAATTAGCTACTTGTTGAAGTCAGCAAACATCTAAAATTTAAAAGAAATAATTGTTTAAATTATTAGAATAAAATATTTTTATATTACGATATTTCACTGTGTTTTATAGAAAGTGCAATTGTAACTTTCCACTTTTTTTGTTATAGCAGATTTATAGCATAGTTCTGCAACCAAAGTTAGACAAATGTCTGGTCCTCAGAACCCTACAGTTTGAAATATTTGTGTACTGAAAATTGTAGTTTGTTTTACTTCTCACTAACACTAATGTGTTTTGATTTTTAAGGGTTTAATATAGCAATACTAGAAAACAGGATCAAGAGGTCTGAGGTAAGATTGTATTATGTATAAAACTAAAACTTTAAAAGTAATGATACAAAAGAAGTCTGGGTAGTTTTCTCTGCTTGTTCTTTTCAGATGAACATCAAGCATTTGTATAGATGTGATGATAAATATCAGCAAATGTTTGAAATTATATTAGTTTATTGTATTACAGCAGGGATTATTGAGGGCTAAATGTTGGAATTTTAAAAAGATATAGAACATCTTAAAATGGAAATACATAATTTTAGGTATGCGTATTCTGTATGTTACACACCTTAGATACTTTGTTTTGATGAATTTAAAAACAAAGCAATGCAATTTTACTGTGTTGATGGGTTGTATAAAATTGAAGCCAAACTGAAGAACCAACCTGACTTTATATGATTGATTAAAATAGTATTTAACATGAAATTTTGTGAGAAGTGTAAACAGGATTATTGACAAAAATGTATGGCAACTCCTGTACTTGCAGTCATGCTTGTCATTTCACGAGTCAGCTTTTAAACTGAGCTTTAAAAGCCACAGAAGATCAAATTCACTGTATTTCTTAAAAAGAGGATTTGGTCTTTGTAGATATTAATTAATTGTCCTTTCAACTAGAGACTTGTTAAATCTGCTGTGTACTTTAGTGTACCTACTGCAGAATACAAAAGCATTCACAGCAAGTTCTGGCAAAAGTTCATAAAAAGAGCTATGGAAAAGAAAAGCATTGCCAACTGAAGGAAATGTTGAAGAAAAGTAAGTTAGTTGATGTCAAATGTAATTTAATACAGCTTTATGTCACATCTTAGGCTCTGATGATTTCTAGAGCTTATCATTTGGGATTACAGAGCATTCAAACTAAAACCATGCAGACCAGACAAAGCCTCCTGAACTGTGAATTTCAAAACATTGCTCGTTGCTTTCCCTGGCACATTCAAACCTCTGCTTGTCCTTGGAATGCAACAAAAATTTCTTGCAGATTGCTCACTGATGTTGAATATAGACATGCAGATGGGTACTCAGAGCATATGACTGTGTAATTATTTCCCTTGCATTCATTTGCATAAAAGTATACGGCTTATTAGAGCTCATTTTGTCCCCATTTCCTATGTAGCAAAAAATAGAAACATTTTCAGAAAATTATTCACACTGTTCATATGAGTAATCACAATAAAGTATTTAAATTCTCAAATTTGTTCTCTTTCAAAGATGTGCAGTAACTTTCAAGTAATGGGAGGGGAAGAGAAGAAAGAGGGGAGGGAAAATAAAATACATCCTAAGCACAACAGGCTGTTGCATTAGCTGTTATGTTACTAAGTGGCTTTTTTGTAGTCATCTGTATGACTTCACTGACAAATGTAGCGTGGACTGTGGTATTTTCTAACAAAATGCTATTGAGCTGAATCTGTATTCCATCTGACATGGTTTATGAGCTTTTCAAGTCTACACTGAACGCATGGAAGACCTACATGTGAAGAATTACAGTAATGACTTTTAAAACTAATGAATAATTTATAAAAATGTTGGTTTTTTTTTTTTTCCCCCATGGATGAAATAGCAAACTGTTATAATTTTACAGTTTTGCTTTTTAAAAATTGCTTTCATGAGATCTGGTTCCATTGGGAATATAATTTCTCTTGTAGTACATTTTACAGGGTTGCGTTCACTGAGAGTGCACAGCGAGAAGAAAAGTTTGGCACAATAAACTGCTGACCAGCCTTTGAATTTGTGTATCAAGCACGCTAGATAGCATAAGGCATAGTTAAGAACTGATGATATTACTTGTACGTGTGGCCAAGGCTTACTGTATTTAGATTATGGAAAGTGACTTGTGCCTTGTAGCAAGGAATCCCACTTTCTATACCACAACAAAATGAGTAAAATCAGTAAAAGTGAGAAAAATAATGTATTTTCTAAGTGTACTGATATTACATTTCATATTAGGTTAAATGTAGGAATATGTCAAATTAATATATACCCATCAATATATCCTGCTCTGATGTTTTTTCCTTCACCTGTTTGGTTCTTAATGATTAGATTTTACCTTTGTCTGCTGTGTAGTACATCATTAATTTCTTTTTTGTTTTAATGGAAATTGCAGTTCCATTTGCCACCAGTGACATTTCAGCCTGTAAGAACCATTCATCTTGCTCCTCTAGATGATATTTTTGTCAATAAGCACACCAAGATCAGAAATATTTTGAGTATTATGAAGTCTATTTCTCAGCCTATAAAATCAGCTACTAAATTTTATCAGTATCAGTTAGGCAATATAGTAATAAGACAAGCTGAAAAGTCTTCAGGTGTGATTGTGGCTACTATTTCTGAGAAGTTCGCTCCAACAGAAGGCCTGTACTGCTTCAGCAAGAATAAATATTATGAGTACCCTAACAATAAGAAAGAAGGAATTGAAAACAATTTGAAATGGACAGAAGATGAGGCAGCTGCCAATACTGAAAAGAATGACCAGAAGTCCCAGTTTTCAGTGGCTTATGAGAATGTAGATATTGTGATCCAAGACAATCTTTGTGACTCTTGTCTTTTTTACCTGAACTCAAATAATGCTGTGAAAAACTGTAGAATATCCACAGCTCTGTGTCCTGTGTCAAAAAACACTGATATTTTAAGAGCTGGTGAGCAGGAAGAAAGAGAGGAGAATTCCTGTAAAACTGATATAGAAGAAAACGTTACAGACATAATACTGCACTGTAGACCATGTGAAGATGCTGAGGGTGAACCCGTCATGCTTAGTGATTGTAATTTAGATTCTTTGTGTAAAAATGAAGTGATTGAGTCCTGCCATGTCCTAGAATATAATTCTGTAGCTGCTGTAATTCCTGGAGAAGTGCAAGATTGTTCTGGAAAACAAACAGAAAATAATATGTGTCTTCTCAAGTTTGAAATGGAAAATGAAGCAATGTCAGAAGTGACTGCAAAAGGTCAAAGTGAGCTCGTTCCTGTTGTCCATGTTACTTTCTCTGAACAAGAACTACCTACGAAACCACGCATTGCTAAACATCCTGCCAAAAAAAGGAGCACTGTTCGTAGCCTGCCTCCTCACGTCAGTCAGAGCTTCAATGTTCTTGCTCGCAAAGACAGTGACAAAAGTGAGATAAAGTTGAATAGAAACAAATGTTCATCAAAATCTAAAATGAGTAGCAAGACAAGGACACCTGAAGGCTTAGTTATTTCTGAGGAGATTTCCATAAAACATAATACACAAAAGAGGAATGCCAAGAGGCAGATTTTTCCGTCTTTGCAACTGCCATGTGTGGGTTCTGAGACTCTCCTGAAGTGTCAAAAAAAAATACCTCAAGCCAACAAATGTAATTTTCTTCAGAGTTTTCAGAAAGTTAAAAAGCAAAGTTCTTCCTGCAGTTGCAAAAATCTAGTTATCTCAAAGAAACCTGTTACTCCGCTTTCTCTACAATATGCACAATCTGCTTCAGAGTTTGTACAACTGAAATACAGTGATATGTTCAAGAAAATAAATTCAAATGACAAAGGCCCAGATGTTTATGAAATGTTTGGAACTCCTGTCTATTCCCACGTGCGCCAGCTTGATCATCTTGAGAACAGTTTTTACAGAGATGTTTGTTCTGCTCCACCTGGGGGATGCACTGGTAGCACCTGCAGTTCTACCTGCAGTAAAAGAAGAGACAGCAGCCGAATAAGAAATACTCAAAAGAGAACACATTCTAAGCCAAAGAAGACCATATCTGTCACTAAACAAAAGCAGAAGGGCTTACATGCAAACAACAACAGTATTGAATTGAGTGATAGCAACACTGAGCAAGATAATGTAATATCTTCTGGTCCGGATTGTCAAATACAAACTTCAAGTAGCGTGACATTGTTTCATGGAGACACAGATCATCAGCTTATATTTTTAGAAGAGCTTCCAGAATCAATCAAGCCAAACGAAATTCTTTCAGATTTAAAGTTATCAACTATTAAAGAAGCCTCTTTGGAGCAGTCTCTAGACAGTCAGGCTCTACCCAACCATCAGATAGCTGCTTCCTGTAGCCAGGGTCTTCTTCAGCCCAACGATAAAGTCTGCACAGAATGTGCTGCTCTATGTAACAATTTAATAACAGCAGACCAGAACATCTGTGTACCCCAGTACGGAGTGGATATGAATGGCTGCAAAAGCCTGGAATCAGACCGGGCCTCCTTCAAGATTCTAAATCAAGGAGAAGCATTGCCCTTTTCAGATAGACAGGAGTGTCAATTCCTTACAAACAAATTAAGTCACAGTTGGTCATTCACACCTCAGAACAGTATTTTGGCAAATGAACTCATTCAGCCTTCAATGATTCAGACAACAAATGTTACAAGCCCCAGTTTCCAGACAAGTCGAAACATTTTGTCTTGGGCAGGTAATAAGGATGTAACCGATGAGTTGCTTTGTTGTCTGGCTGCAGAATTGCTAATGCTCGAAGATAAAGACATCAGTTCTTCAAGAACAAAATATGCAGGTTCTAAAATGCAGAATACCTGTACTAAAGAAGAAGGAAAAATAATGAACAGAGATGGAGAAATAGTAGATAATGATCTAGAGAAGGTAAAATTAAATTTTTGTAACTTGCTTGCTCTTTTAAGTGATGCTTCAGCAAAGTGTTGGATGAAAGATGAGTCTTCATGTTAACTCAATAATCAGTGCTTAACTAAAGTACTGGTAATATGTGCTCATTAATGACCAAGTCTCTTCTCCTTGGGCCAGCTGCCCACTGGGACTTCCAGTGTTCAGATGAGGATACTGATATTGGATGCTGTCTGTCTGATATGGGCATGCTTAGGCATGACTGACATAGCCAGAAACACTTAGATGCTGAGAAATTATAGTGAAAAAAAAAAGGGAGAGGCTACTTTAATTGGTTTAACTACAAGTATTGGCTTATCAGGTTTGTTTAAGTAATGTTTAATTAAACTTCAAGCTCAGAAGGCTTAGTTGTATTCTGGCCCTTGCTCTGTGACGAAACCTTACCTACTAATGACACCTGCCAGTACTGCTTCTCCTTTACCGTCTTAGATTTTCCTCCATTTAAACTACAAATCTACAAGGAAGATTAATTCACTGTGTTTCGATACACTTCCTTATGCTTCTGCAAACACAAATGCCAGTTATACCTCCATTCATACTTCTAGGGATCTGTGGCTGGGTGCAGTAATTATTAGTGGTTTGTTTTTTGTTGTTTTTTTTTTTTAAGCAGTTTTTTCTTCTTGTGAATTCCCCTCCAAGTTGTTTTCATGAGGCTTGGATTATATATGTTACCTAGGGCAAATTAATTGTTGTATTCCCCCTTAGCAAACTTTAGCTATATGACCAAAAAATAAAATAAAATAGTAAGCCAATATATGTTCTGTTCTTGTAAGTGTTCCTTCTTCCTGGCTTGCTTTCAATGACAAAAAAGATGGGGTGCTGTAATCTTCAGCTTGTTTACTATCGTGATATATATTTGAAAATATTTATGTAGTCTTAGGTAGCATAGCCATTGTATCGATGTGCCAGGCAAGGATTATATATATATGTAATTCTGTAGAAAAGATTAATGCTAGATGAGAGTTACTGTCTGTAAAAAAATAACAATAATAAGGGGTCTTTTTCCTCCTTTCCTTTTCCTCACACTAACCATCATGTTCCAAGCAGAGTTACAGAAAATCCTTTCTGGCATCAAGTGAAGAAAGTGGACTGCTGAACTTTGAGGAATCTACTCAAGTACCAGGAAGCAATGTAAATAACAAAGACACTATCATGTGGACAAGAGGTGAAGTCCTTGGAAAGGGAGCCTATGGCACAGTAAGTTGCAGTCTCAGTACGCTAGGGGATGCACCGGTTATCTCAGAATTATGTCTTACCTTCTAAATGACTACTTTCTTATTCAATAAATAACTTAAATATTTTGCATTATACAGTGAGACATGACAGGTGACAGAAAAAAAGGAAGTAATTTAAAATAAGTAATCATACACTTTAATTTCATGTTTCATTTTAATAAATGCTAGTTTTGTTGTAGGTGTACTGTGGACTGACAAACCAGGGACAGTTAATAGCTGTAAAGCAGGTTGTTTTGGATACGTCGGATCGACTGACTACAGAAAAGGAGTACCAGAAGCTGCATGAGGAAGTTGATCTTCTGAAGACATTGAAGCATGTCAATATTGTAACTTACTTAGGAACTTGTCTGGAAGACAACATTTTAAGTATTTTCATGGAGTTTGTTCCTGGTGGCTCAATTTCCAGTATTCTTAATCGTTTTGGTCCGTTGCCAGAAATTGTCCTTTGTAAATACACAAAACAAATTCTAGAGGGGGTTGCATATTTACATGACAATTGTGTCGTTCATAGAGATATCAAGGGCAATAATGTTATGCTCATGCCAAACGGAATAGTGAAGCTAATTGACTTTGGCTGTGCCCGGCGTTTAGCTTGGGTCAGCCTCAGCGGCACACACAGCGAGATGCTCAAGTCTGTGCATGGGACTCCATATTGGATGGCACCAGAAGTTATCACTGAATCTGGATATGGGAGGAAATCAGACATCTGGAGCGTCGGCTGCACAGTGTTTGAGATGGCAACAGGAAAACCACCACTGGCTTCCATGGACAGGGTAGCAGCCATGTTCTATATTGGAGCTCACAGAGGACTGATGCCTTCCCTACCTGATCGATTCTCTGGAACTGCAGTGGACTTTGTGCACGCATGCTTAACCAGGTATGTAGCTTTTTAACTGGAAATCTTTATGAAATGAATAGCAAATTAATAGCAGCCTTTTACATATATCTGAAGATCAGACTTTGTCACTAGGGAGAAGCATGTTATTTAGCGGGCATGGTAGTGGCCTCAGAGACAGGAAGTTTTAATTCTAATCTTTGGATTAGAATTGTTATGGTTAGATGTGAACCACGTAACAGTAACCAGAAAAACTGTTGTCAGCAACATCATATACACTTTGTCTCAGAGAGAACAGTATTTAGAAGGTAGTAGGAATTGTTAAGGTAGAAGGAAATACACAGGTAGAGTTTTTAATACAGTATTGACCTTATAAACAAACAAAATAAAAACTGAAAGTCAACAACCACCAGCAGCAAAAATGAACAAAAACCTCATGTGTGTCGATAGTGGCAAAAGTTTTCTATATCATCTCATTGTGACACAAATGTAAGTGACTCCTTCATTCTTTCTTTCCCATTAGTTTATGATTTAGGAAATCAGCATCCTTTACCCTTTTTCCTGTTTTGCTTTTGAAATAAGTCCAAACTGAGGGCTGAAAAGGTTAGTTCTCAGTTCTAGAAATGCTGTAATTCCAAATGGCCTCGTTAATGTGAATTATGTTGATTGGAGATGACAGAATAGACTGACAGACACAAGTTCAGGCAAATCGTTGTCATGTTCCTTAAATTTTTTCTGCACCTGAAACAGCCAAATTTACAGGATTACTCTGTTTTGGAAAGATTTTAGTGGAAGAATGATTTTTTATTCCACTTTTATAAGTCATAAATGCCAACTGCATCTTTCCACAAATTCTGCCATCCTTTCTGTCAGTCTTATTAAAACAAAACAAAACAAAACAAAACAAAACAAACAAAAAAAAAACAACCAAAGAATAAATTTCGAAAAACAACCCAAAAACGACTGATCTCTGGAGAAATAAGAAAAAAATAAATGCCTTAGTATGCATTTAGCTTTTACAAATAGTTACATACCATGCATGCACATCCATTTGATGTACTGATTTTTCAAATCCTCAATGCAGAGATCAACATGAACGCCCTTCTGCTCTGCAGCTGTTGGACCATCCCTTTTTGAAAGGAAGACAGTGAATCGTTCAGACCTCCTGTCAAGTGAGTAATACATTTTCTATTACGAAAAGTATTTCTGCTTGTGAAAAAGATCAGAACAAACTGGAGTTAGAAGTAACAGCAGAACATACTGCAGATTGGTTGTGTAGACAGTGAGTCTATTTTTAGACAGTGCTTAACATTTTGTTGTCACATCTGTACTCAATGGAATGGGCATTCATTCACTATGAACACAAGGTCACACATTTTGCTGTTTCTGAGGAGATTCTAGAGGGGAAAAAAACCTGCTACCATGAGCACATGACAAGTAAGGTAAGTTGGGAGTTCTGATTTTCTGTAAAAACCTATGGAACATGAATGGTATCAGCAGAAAGCTTTACAGATGCAAAAAGCTTTGTGAAAGCTCTTCTCAAGCTCATAGATAGTCTTTAAATGTGTCTGTGAAGATCTTGTTGAAACTCCAAACCACACAATTATGTTGGCATAAAACGTACTGAAGTTGTTGTTCAGCTAAATGGGCCTTTTAACTGTAGCTGGTGAATGGAAAAAACTATGCAGTACACACATACCAGTCCTTCTTATCCTTTTCTGTGGAGGTTTATCAACCTCAGGATACTGTGGTGATAATGACAAGAGATACCCAGCTGCACACAGATGTACTTTTATTAAGCTAACATCAAGGTAATTTCCTAGTCTCTCTAGAATTATGCATCTGAGATTTGAGACCATCTTCTTTTTTAACAATGCATGGGATTTTATGGACAGTTTTTTGTTACAGATGGATTGAGGTTGGAAGGGACAGCTGGAGATGGTATATTCCAACTGCACTGCTTAGGGCAGGGCTGCAGACACAGATTGCTCAGTTACTTTGGCTTTTGAGTATCACCAAATATGGACACTCTACAGCTCCTGTAGGCAACACGTTCCAGTGTTCCAATCTCCTCATACTGAAAATATTTCAGCAGGCTGTCTTGTATTTCAAGTTGTGCCCACTTTTTCTTGTCCCACCACTGGATAACACAGTGGAGTCTGGCTCTATCTTCTTGATTGCCCCTCATCAGGAATGGATACACATTGATAGGATTCTCTCAGCTGCCCTCTTCAATCCAAGCGACATGCTGTAATTCTCAAACTTCTGTTTGCTGATACAGAGCAGCAGAAGCATAGAAGCATTACCTTTCTCGTTTGCAAAGGCTGTAAGGTACCATTTGAATCACTCAAGAAACTACTACTAATTTTGAACATCCTTTACCTGAGACTTGAACTATTTTGAGAAACACTTGAGTGAGCACCATGTAGATGACATAGTCTTTGTCTGCACCTTTTTATGGGTAGTTACACTAACTGGCTACTACCTACTATTAACTGAATGCAATGAGAATAAATTTGAAAAATATTCTGATACATCTATAGAAGATGATGCAGGTATCAGAATTCAGACTGTCCTCTTCCTGGTGGGGCTTCTTTCTCAGTAAAGATTTTGGGGGAATAAGACACAAAATGTGGTGAACTTTATGATGTGAGTGGCTGGGTTCTAAGAAGAAATGCAGTAAAATTCAGCCCTGGAACTTTTAGGGGCTGAGCCCTCAGAAGTTAAAGGCCCTGATTTCTGCACCAGCAGTGATATCAAAAATAGGCGTTTCACAAAATGGGAAGAAGGAAAGCAACAAAAAGTTGGTTTGTAGAACATCAACTTTCTACAGAGCGTCAAACTCTTCAGTTACTTAAATAGCTTTTAAATCTTATATTATTCCAGTAGCCTGACTTCAGAGAGCTATTTGGTCTAAATTTCATAAAAATGAAGAGAAATCAGTACTTCTAGCAAAATTCTTTATTAATAGTTTCTGTAGGTATGATGTCACATTACAGTAACAGAACATCATGCCAGTATAAAGAGAAATCTTAGCATTACAGAAATCTTCCAAGTTTAAACAGTTATCAGTCCCATTTTGAGGAATACTGGCTGGTCCTCCTGTCAAAATCCATGGTAACTTGAGCATCTTCACAATGAAGTACCTTGCTGAATAAAGGTAGAAGCCCTGGCACATGAACTCAAGTAGGATGTACATAATTATGTCCATAAAGTATATCAATTCTTCTAAGATTAAGGTAATGTCTCCAAAAAGGCTGCAACGTAAACATGAGTTTTTGTTTAACATGAAATGATACTGGGAACAGGGAAAAAGTGGGAATGCTTTAAGACATGCAATTAATTATAAACGTTCAGAGCTATGAACCTTCCTCCTTACGCACATCCTATATGCAAAACTAACATCCTCTGCTAAAGTCCCTACTATTCATGTTAGTAATTGTTGTTTAGAGTTTGAATGTAATGTTTAGTTCAGCTAATTAATTTCCACTTTTTTAATAAGCATTAAAGTTTTTAAACCTGAACCTGAGAATTTTACCAGAATATGAAAGTGAATTTTTGCTTTTGCTTAACTGGATTTAGAGAGAGAGATCATTGTCCAGTGCCAGTGCTTGCAACAAAAATTCTTTAAGCTTAAGCATGTTTGAGACCCAAGGATATGCAACTGCATACCAGCCATGTGTTCAGCACAGCTAAACAGTCATGTTGACTTGGGGCATCTCGGGCAGCTCAGCTGGGTCTGGCATAGTAGAACATTCTACAGACAAGTCTGACAACTGCATATTTCTGACATAGGGAGATGACAGATTTTTCACATCAGAATCCAGATAGTTCAGATAAACTGTTGAAAAACCTTAAATCTTTTTTTTTTTTTTTAAATATATGATGACTGACTCAGAAAAGGGACACTTGCCTTATGATTTATCATATTTAAGGAGGGCAAGCCTTCAGTTTTTTCTTTTATATATAGCACAGTATTTATTCCTAAAACTGTGGGCCAGAAGCAAAAGAGCAGCGAAGAATGCATTATAAAAGCATGCAAGCTACCAGGGAGCAGGTACAGCTACACTGTAACACCAAGATTCCTCAACGTTTGGAGTTAAAATTCGAGCGTGTGAAAGCACGTCCCTTTACCTTCTTAGAGGACACCTAATATTTATTCTATTAATAACATTTAAAGCTCTGAGCTGTCACTCAGGAACAAGTTAGCTTTCTTAAGACTTGCCAACCCAACTATTCTGCACTGGCCTTGAAACTACAGACACCAATGACATTAAAATATTCCTCTCAAAATACATGCACTGATCTTTTTCTGAAGGACACAGACATCAAGCCCAGAAAACCCACAATCTTTAAGATTTGGGCTCAAAACTATAATCATCTTGCACGCTTTTCTCACAAAGTTCAGCAGGAACTGGTGCTATTTGCTACAACCCTATCTCAAGTCCAGTTCTTGCATACAAACTAAAAAGATCAAAATCTCTCCTGAGGAAATGATTCCAACCCCCAGAGCAGACCAATCTTTTCTGCCCTATTTCCCAAAGGGGCCCATGCCATGAGGCAGCTTCAGAAAGTGAGGTTTACAGGTATTGTCAAAACAGCCTCTGAACTATGGCAAGAAAATTGGTTCAATCTGAGTGGGGGAACATAAGGAACAAAAACCAAGTACCTCCGACTTTTAAGAGTAAAGATTATTGATTTAAGTTCACTCTATCCAGGTCTGCAGGCTATTCCTTCTCCAGGAATGTCATTCCCTGCAGCAACATGAGGGAGAACTTCTCGCTCTCCCCTCCAGCCCCCCAAAGCGTAAGGAGTTAAATATTTCAGAGAAAGGATGGATTAATTGGCCAGCTCATCTTAGAGTAACTTGGAAATCTTTTAGACTTTGTTTTCTATTTTTAGATCTCAGAATGTGTATTTACAACTGCGATTAAAGAAAGCAAACACATTGTTTCTTCAAATCCCCTTTACACAAAGGGGACTAGGAACCTTTCCACCCATGGTTTTACAAAGAGAAGGCTCCTGTCACTCCCCTCCTCCCCTTTCACTTTCCTCCCCCCAGCCATGAAGGTACCAAAAAAACCATAGCGGTATCAACCATGGCCAATCCCTTTACAATTAAATTCACACAGGCAGAGTTAGGGAACAGATATATGCATCGCTCCAGATGCCATAAAAACTTGCAGAATTTGCCTCTGTTGTGTGCAAATACTATTTACCATGTGTTCCTAAACCTGAGCACCATACAGTGAAGGAAACAAAGGAAATAAATTATGCTTCAAATTTAAAGTAGTTCACTATTTGATTGATTTAATGGAAAATACTATTTTTGCTAATAACAAAAAAGATATTTGCATCTACAAATGAAGTCAGAAAACTGAACATAGGAAATGGGATAATTTCTGCACAATAGAGGTGAGGTAGGGAATTTTATTGAAAATATTTTTTTTTTTTTTTACAAGTTCTTAGAAATAAAGTTCTCTAATCCCACACAAATGTCTGTACCTCAAAAATTCAGCTATGCTAATATGAAACATTTATATTTACAGTTTGCCAAAAGAACATACAGGACTGCCGGTTTATGCAAATACCGAAGTACCAGATCACAGTGAGATACATGTCAGCACTTCCACCATTAGGAACAGAACTAAGATTCAACACACAAAAGAATCTCACTATTCTCTAAACCTCCTATCTCACAAAAAGGGAAGATTTTCAATAGTGTTGTAGCAAGGTCTCCACTAATACTTCATTTTACAAATTACATAATGCATGTGCTCAAATTTACAACAACAAAAAACCCTGTAATCAGTGAGGAACAGAATAATAGTGTTGTCAGTTAGCCTTTTATTGCATTTATTCAGTGAGGCTGATGCTGATCCCATTAATTTTCACTTATTTCAAACACCTTACCCAGGCTGAAATCCACACCACTCAATGATGTGCAGTGGGCTTCAGCCAGGGAACACTGGCATCTTGTTGCGTATCCTCTCCCTCCCTCTAATCCTTCACTACCACCACACCAAATTTAGCTTCAAACACAAAGACAAATACAGTTTCACATATTTACAGTTACACTGAAAACCAAAACCAATGAATTTTATGGACTTTTTTTTTTTTTAAACAGAGAAACCAAAAATCAGTTTGAATCTCAATGTAGCATAGTAACATT